AAAGTAGAATGGGAGGCAGAGACTTTGGGTATCAGTTGCTCCCAGTTGGGTTGAGGAAACAGACAGCCTCTGTAGTTTTAAGATGACATATCAAACTTTTCTTTCTGCCAAAGTTTTTGGTTATCGCTGGTACTTGTGCTGTGATCCACTTGTTAACTGATGATCTAATGATATGTTTCCAGGTCCAAATGATGGATGTGGCCATGGTTGAGTATATCCTCCTCTTAATTTAGTTCAATTCATTTCGCCTCAAGGTGTGACTAGATGTTTCATGCTTTGCTCTCTTTTTATTAGGATAGTTCATGTGATTTGGTAGTGATGGCAGCAGCATGGTGGTGCAGTGGTTAGTGCTTTTGCCGCCCAGAAAGAAGGTCCTTGATTCAAATCCGTTATCTACCTGGGTTCTCTCCAGGTAATCCAGCTTTCTCCAACACTCCAAAGACATGCATGTTTGGCTAATTAATGATTCTGAATGACAGAGAGGAAATATCTGAAGCCCTCTCCTTTGTTCTTTGTTATGTAACGACATGATCAACAGTCCAGCTGATGTTTTGTTGTGAGCCACCGTGTTTCACCAAATGTTTTGAAATATTTTAAATTGTGCAAACATGGATTTGCCTCTATCATACTGCTCGCCGTGAACTGCAGTCAGTTTAACTCATTAGATAAACTTCATAAGTCCTCCCAGTGTTCTTTGTGGGATCGTACCACTCGACATAAGTCCTCCACCTTCCTTTCACTCCACGTGTGTTTATATGTTGTTATTGCTGCCACTTTATTATCTCTCCTGTATTGTCTCCTCACCCTGAACTTCCCGAGTCGAGTTCTGTTCGACGTCACTTCCTTTTAAAGGGGAGTTTTTCCTCCCCACTATTGGCAAGTGCTGCTCACGGGGAATCTTCTAATTACTGGGGTTCTCTCTAACATCATGGGGTCTTTACCTTTAAAAAAGTAAAAAAGGTATGACGGACTGTTGTAAAAATGAAATTCAATTCCTCTAGTTGAAAGAAAACGTTAATAATCAACTATTTATTTGCAATTGTTTTGTTGGCTATAAAACTAGAAACAATCACCTCGAGCAGCATTTACCGTCTTCTGCACAGGCTCCTGAAAGCAGCACATCACCCTATACCCTCCCTTTCTCCCCCTCCCTCCCCTCTCTTTCCACCCTCAGGCATTATTCTCTTCCTTTAACTCCCCCTCCTTTCCTGCCGGCCTCTCAGCAGAGGATGTGTCTGGAGAGAGAGTGTATGTGTGTGAGAGAGAGGAAAAGAGGAAAGCCTTCAGTAGAATGGATATGTGCCT